AGGGCTTCCGCTCGCCGGCCGCCGGCCTCGGCGAGCCCGGCACGGCATCCAACATGACGATCCGCGGCCGCGACGGCCGCCTGCTCGCCGACAAGTGGGAGGCCCAGGGCCCGTCGACGCTGCACGGCGTGCTGACGAACGGGTTCCCGAATCTCTTCCTCTCGGGCCCCATGCAGACGGGCGCGTCGGCCAACTTTAGCCACGTGCAAAACGTGCTGGCCGAGCACTGCAGCTACATTCTCGGCGAGGCCGTACGTCGGGCCGCCGCGCGCGGGCTGGCTGCGGACCGCGTTGTTGTCGAGGCGACGGTCGAGGCCGAGGAGACCTGGGCCAGCCGGCTCATGCAGCGGGCGGCGTGGTTCGCGGGCGCGGGTATCTGCGCACCCAGCCTCAATAACAACGAGGGCTCATTGGGGGCGGACCCGGCATCGCACATGAAGATGGCAAGGGGGGCGCCGTTTGCGCTCGGTATGAACGCTTACTCGCGAGAGATCAGGTTGTGGCGGGAGGAGGGCACGATGAAGGGGGTGGACGTCTCGTAGGGCGTGTCGTGAATTGCAACGACGAGGAAGTTCTGGCTGTCAGTGTGCGTTTCATTCTCCTCCGCGAATACAGATCATGTGTCCCTAAACCTGGATGAACAGTATATCCATTCAACATACCAAGATGACATGTCTGTCCTGGCCAACACGCGAACAAGGGTGGAGGAAACGACGCTTCATTGAAACCATGCTAGCAGTTACATTGACTACCCAGCCACGCCCAGATCCCTCAGAATGACAGGAAATCGGTAATCTTGGATCCGCCGTCTAGCTGATCGGCCTGCTTGCGCAGCACATCGGCCCTGAACCGGCGGAAGGCCGTCTCGATGCGCTGTCTGCTCTCGGCGTCACGAGAAATGGCCCACGTCGCCGACCATGAGCCCGTCAGAAAGCCCGTCTCGCCACCGAGGAATAGGCTGCCGAGGCCAAGGAGACCGTACGTCGCGATGTCGCCCGCTGTCGACGGTTTCAGGAAGGGCGCAATGTTGGGGATGGGTTCTGGTATCATCAGTTATTTTGGCTCCGAAACATGTGCAGACGGCGAAGAGCATACTTGTTCGGCCGTCGGCAAATTGGACATGGGTCGGCTTTTCAGCAGCGCGGAAGGCCGCGAACATGTCGGCGCGAGCGCGGCGCAGACGATAGGCCATGAAGACGCCAAGGCCTAGACCAACGAGCGAGCCGACCGTCGCATGGAAGCTGACCTTCGCCGCAGCTGATTTGAGGGCGTCTCGGTCCTGGGGCTTCAGGTCATGCTCTAGGTGCTTCTCGGCGAGTTCTGCGAGCTCGGCGCTCTGGGGCGACTTGCGCAGGGCGGCGAGCGAGTTGGCGGACATATTGTGGTCGGGAAGGACAACGTTTTTTTAAAGTAGGTGCCTTGTTGATCAATTGTATGGTGATTCGGACAATGAAGCTGTGCAAGGAGAAAAGAATTGCACGTCAAAACAGGTCCGTCGATTCGGAGCAAAGTCAAGCTCCCATGACGCGGTGGAGGTCGCGTTCGGTAGCTGTGATGTCATGGTCGGATCGAGCCGCCGCCCGACGCTTCCGGCCCTGGCGATCTAGCTTGAGGCTCATTCCGCAGTCGCATTCATGCTGGCCAATTGCACACGCATGCTCGTGGCCTCCATCATTCTGGCCGTCGCCTCGTTGCAATACGAAACAGGGTCGCGCCAGTAGAACTCGTCGCCCGCAATCTCACACGCCAGGCCGTAGTCCTCGCCGGCTGGGATGGTCCTCCCGCTTGAGTCGGTCATGGCCCCGCCCGTAACCAACATGCAAACTCTGGCAGCCACAGTCTCGACTGCGGTGAAGTAGGCCGCGGGAAATGCGCCCCAGCGCTCGGCCGACAAAAGGTTCGTCCGCACTGTTCCGGGGCAGATGGTGTAAGTGCGGATGCCGTCGACTTGGTAGAAGGAAACGGCGACGGACCGCATCAAGTTCAGCACGCCAGCCTTGGCGGCGGCGTACATGGCACAAAACTCGGCGGGGTAGAGCGACCCAGTGCTGCCCGTCATGACGAGCACACCATCGCTGCCGCCATGGGGACTCAGTCGAAAGTAGTGCTGGGCAAGATAGGTCGTGTTGATGACGGACTTGAGGTTGATATCGACAACTCGTTGGTCTGGCTCGGGCGGAATGCGACTCTTGGTCGTGTCGTGGACAGCGTAGAAATTGGCATGCTCCACAATGCCGGCATTGGCAAAAACGAAGTGGATCGTGCCGAAGCGCTCAAAGGTGTCGTCGAACGCCTTCGAAAGAGAGGCCCATGATGAGACGTCTGTCTGGAGGAACACAGTGTTCGGGATTGAAGAGGCGGCTTCTTGGCCGGCCTTTTCGTTGAAGTCGAGAATGGCGACGACCCAGCCTTGGGCGGAGAGACGCTGCGTCACGGCAAGGCCCATGCCAGAAGCGCCACCCGTGATGATAGCCACCCGGCCATGGCTGTCGGTGCTGTTGGGTACGCTGGGCATGGTTCTCTAGGTGTTTGTTTGCTGTCTGTAGCCAGCGAGGGTTTCATTGTCTCTGGTCCTAGGATGTAGTCGTGATGGACATGATCGCTCCTATTTAGCGCTGGCGGTGATGCGGTGCTCCATGACGGGCAGGGTGTGTCTTCCCGAACATTCGAGCCAAGCTTCTGCCATTTTCGCAATCTCTCCGGGTTTCAGCCACCAGCTAAATCTGCTCAAGGCAATTCGGATGTGAAGGCGTCGTGGTAGATTGGCGTGAAAAAGACGGAGGAGATCATGTGGAGGATCTCGTTATCCGCAGCTTCTGTTGACGGCCAGGCTGGCAGGGACAGGGGGCCACCTGCTGCTGGGATGGAACTTCCCGCAGCGTCTCGACCACCCCAGACCTGGGAAAGGAGACCCGGCATCTCGGGGCAGCTACGAGTTAAGTCTTCTCCCTCGTTCTTCCCTTAATCCCGCTACTGCCTTCTTTATTTGGAAGGAACGCATCTACCAGCACCATCGCCGGAGCCTATTGGGTGAGCTTTTGAGTCCTTGATCACAGGGCAGTCACCACACGCGGCTGACGTGAGAAGACAAGCCTGCCGTCTACACTACACCTCCCTCTCTACCCCAACTGTTGCGAGAAGGCTCAAGAGAAATGGCTGTCTAGATGTACAACCACACCTCCCAAGGCCCGATGGATGATGTCGCCGCACGGTCTCTTCGCCAGCTATCAATGGTAAGATGGCCCATGGACTGCCGTTCTTCCTGACCCCCTAGAGAACCTGCCGATTCGGCCCCGAACCGAAACCGCCACTTCACTTCTCCCCGTCTTCGTCAGCACAGCGTTGTATTCCCCAGACAAATGATCGACGCAGATGGCTGCCTGCAGCTCCTTAGCAACTGCGAGAACCAGCCTCCGAAAGTACCACGCAGACTGGCTATCATCCCAATCCGCGCATCGCATGGCCTGAAAGCAAACTGCTGACCGGGTCGTCGGGCGGCCATCCGTCAGTCCTTCCACGACAACCCCGCCTGCCTACATGCCATAAAAGACGACCACACTGGGGAAAGCTGTTCTCTTTTGTCTGCCATCGCAGGCGCCAAAACATCATCGTCCGAGCTCAAAGTCTCACATCTTCCACTTCGACATCTTCGGGGGAGTTGAAGCGTCGCGCCATGACCTTCAATCCGACTTACGCCACCGTCAACACGGAGGACTGCGGCATCCACTACTGGTACCTAGGCTCCGGCCCCCTGCTCGTCTTCGTCGCTGGCGGCAACGGTCACGGCCGGCAGTTCAACAACATCATGGCCGCCCTATCCGATCGTTTTACGTGTGCCACGTACGACCGCCGCCAGATGTCTGCCAGCCAGTCCCCCAACCCCCGTCTCATCAGCCCGCCCCAGCAGGCTCGCGACCTACTGGCTGTCATGCAGGCTCTTGGCCACGAGAAGTCCACCATTTTCGGCAGCTCCCTGGGAGGTCTCATCGGCTTGCAGTTCGCACACGACTTCCCCGAGCGAGTAGAACACCTCATCATCCACGAAACTGCCACAGCCCTGATCATGCCTGATGCTAACGAAATTTGGGAGTGGGTCATGGACTTCTACCGCCTGAAGGAGGAAGAGGGCTGGGAAGCTGCTAGTGCCAAGTGGGATGTGTACTTTGGTGCCAACGGGTACGACGCCGAGGGCGTACCCAAGACGGTGCCCCCTCCGCGCCACAATGTGGTCAACTTTTGGAACAATGAATTCATTGTCATCGCCTCGTATCTTCCGAACCTGCATCGCATCAGAAAAAACGCCACGAGCATCGGCATCATGCGGGGCGAGAGGAGCGGCGACGCCTTCTTTGCGAGGGCTACCTATGCGCTGGCAGAGGTGTTGGAATGCCTGCGTTGGGACGTTCCTGGACACCATCAGGGGTTCGAAGTTGAGACGGAGGCGTTTTCGCCGTTTCTGCTCAACATGCTGGCCGCCTTGGACCAGGGTCAGCGGAATAAGTCCAGTACTGTTTCGTTGACAATCTAACGGCGGTATCTCTTCTTCTCTAGCAGCGCTAATAAGACTTGCATCTGCACCATCATGGCTATTGCTTCTCAATTCATGTCTCATACGCAGCAGTCCCGCGGCTGTCACATTTCCGACAACGTGCATGCCGCCATGGTGGTGCATCGCCTCCGTACCTAAGCGCGGCGCCAACCATAGGGCTGCATCAATAGCCACGCTTCAGCCCTAGCAAGTCATTAAGTCGCCCGTCCTGCGGCTGAACTCGCTGCTGTGATTGTTCTGCCTACCACCATAATAACGCCTCTGCTCTTGGCCAGGAAGACATGGTCACTTCCTTTTTGGTTAAGCTGGCCGTGTCATGTCTTCGCCTTGAAAACCTTATTGCTGGTGGGTGCGGTTGCGTTGGTTCAGCTTATGATCAACGACGAGAACCACAGAAAGCCACAAGCTTTCAGCCGTGTGTATCTTTAGACACCTGCAAAATTGAGTCTACTGAATGGGCCACACCTGTCTGTTATCACGGTGTCACATGCAGCCTATGACTTGTCACCGCTGCCACAATTGGACTCCACAGGGGCATCGCGCTGATGGCTCATCAGACCAACAGTATCGCACGAGCGTCGACCGCCAGCATTTGATTTCAACGGCTGACCTTCGAAAGATAGCGTAGGGCCGAAATGAGAAAGTCTACCTGGATTGCTTCTGTCCAAGAACAGCTTGTACGGGATAAGATTGGACCGAACTCATCAGCCACAGGCAGACAGGCTCGCAGCGGCCTCGAGACACTGAGATGGACATGAGGACCGCGACTAGTATATAATGCCGCTGAGAAAGTCTGGTATCACTTATGTTGACGTGCGAAAGCAGCAGCAATACACCTCCTGAAACAGGCCGGTCTCTCACACGCGTCACTCCTCTTCAACATGCTTTCCCACACGCTGATCATCGGCCTCCTTACGGCCACAGCAACGGCCGTCGCCCACCTCCCCCTTCTCCCCCGTCAGACTGATACTTCGATCCTCGGTGACTCGGGCGACTGCCTCGGGGCCCTCCTCGAGGTCGCCGCCGATGCGCCCATGCCCCCGCCGGAGATCCAGGACATCATCACGGACTACTACATGACAGCCACGGGCGTCATTACGGACGCCTGCGCCTGGCAGACACTCGTCCCCGGTAGCCTAGCCGACAACTGGTCGTCCTACCAGAGTGACGTTCTGCAGTGGTACAGCGACAACAAGAACGACCTGGCCAGCGCCCTTGAAAAGTGCCCGGCCGATTACTCGAGCTCTGCGGGGCCCTGCACGGGGACCATTGCCTTTGGCACGGATGCCAAGGCTACGGGGGCTTCAGGGGGTGATGGGGGGAATGGGAGCAGCAGCGGAAGCAGCAATGGCGGCGGCGGCGGCGGACAGTCCAATGATGCTGCTGGGAAGGTTGGGCTCGCTGCTGCGGGAGCGCTCGTGATCGGTGTCGTGGGTGGTGTTTTTGCCGTTCTTTGAGGGAGGCGTTCTGTTACCCGGTGGAGACGGTTCCACCGTCTATAAGTCATTGATTTTGTTTCTCATGGGCACAGGATATTGAAGCTCAAGCCCCGAGGGCTCTGTGCCAATGACCTCGAGCTTCTTCTGAGAGATCACGTGGTGCTTGCTGTTAATGAGAACTCGTGCTGATAGAAAGCTTATCTGAGCATCACTTGTGAGCAATACCTCTCACCCTATGCCGAGAAAATCCTATCTTGAAGCTCTCAGCTGCTTCATTTCTTAATATGATAAGCTAAAGCCGGCTTAAATCTAAATCATTTCGCCTTCTATGATGTGGAAGATCCCACTTGGGATGATGTCGATTTCGTTGCCAGTATGGTCGATTGCAGTCAGGTAAGCAGCTCTTAACAAGAACTATATACCCTGCATGACCTGGTAACAAGCGGCAGATGGGCTTTCATACACAGGCACGGCGTATTGTTCCGCAGCGAAGCTCGGTTCCGCCCCAAGGCTCCCGAATACCTTCCAGATCAATTCATCAATACATGGGCTTATAAGCCGAAGAGTGTGCCATTGCGAAAGGCGTCTGTGTTGCTTTTACAAAGGCATAGGGCTCGGGACGTCACGTTGGGGTCTGTGAGTGGAGAGTCGCGACATTTTGTATTCTATTATCTATTTCTTTCTATGTCCGATGCGTCTTCACCATATTAGAGCCTTGCGGTCACCTTGACGAAGCTTCCCACCAGCATCGACTTAGCAATGTACATGCTGATGCCACCAAGCACAACCACGGCCAGGAAAAGGCCGGACGCTGCCTTGTGGCCGAAAGTCTCCAGAACCTGACCTGCGGCGGAGATACTTGTCAAAGCGGCGATGCTGACCATTGATGTGGCCGTGCCTGTCCATGGTCAGATGCGTATTAGGAGTAGGGGAGCGGCGAACTGACCATAATATCTGCCAAAGTTTGTAGGAGAACAAGTCTTGGCTATGCACACTGTCGAATTGTTAATATGGCGCCACTGGTTCTTGGAGGCTGCGCAGCGACACCTACAAGGGATGATGGAGATCCAGGAGCCTGACCCAAAGCCCCAGAAGCAGGCAAAGGCGTATAAAGGCCCGACCGCGCTGTTGGTGAGCGGAATAAACAGCGCCGCCGTGAAGATAGAGGTAAAGGGGACCATGATGAGGAGAACGTTGAAGGCGCCGATGTAATCCGCCACGATGCCGGGCAGCAGACGTCCCAGCAGCGAGAAGCCGTTAGTCAGAGCGATCAAGGTGTAGCCGGCATTCTCCGCGAACCCGGCCCGGATAGCAAAGGTGGGAAGCAGCCCGTTAATGCCAAACATGGCAAACTCGAGAAGGAAGAAGCCGATGGCGGTGAAGCTGAACGGGAGAGACCGGAACGGCTTGAAGTTGGGGAGCACCGACGTTGCCTTTTTCCCCGCGACCGAGCTCGCCTCTGCCTGTCGGATGAGTCTGGCCGCCGGGAGCAGGCACAGGCAGCCGGTCACCATGAGAGTTGTAACGATGAAGGCCAGGGTTCGGATCGACCAGACCCAACCCCACGTCGGGAAGACTTTTTGCAGGATCAGGGGAAAGAACACGCCTCCGAGGCATGACGCGGAAAATGCGCAGCCCATTGCGGCTCCGTGTCGATGGGTAAACAGCTTGCTGATAGTCGAGACGGCCACGGTCGCGGTGGCGGCGGCGCCGATGCCGCCGAGGAGACCCAGGACGAGCATGAACTGCCAGTACTGCTCGCACTCGGCGAGGAGGAAGAACATGGCAATGTTCAGCACAGCCGCCGCGGGCGCCATGAGACCCGGTCCGTAGTGATCCATGACGGGGCCCATGACCAACACGAGGAGCAGGCTCAGCGACGTGTAGACACCGATGATCCATCCGACGTCTCGGGTCGTGTAGTCGTTGAGCTGGTTTAGCTGCAGGTACGACTGGATAGTGCCAATGGCTTGCATGAAGCCTGCTGTCTGTCAGTACAGAACGCAAGTGGTCTTCTGAGATGCCCACTCACCATAAGTGCAGATCAAGAACATGCCTGATCCCGCGACGCAAACCCATGGTAGCCGCCCGAGGTCGGCGACCCCGGCATCTGAATGGTCGGTGGTAGTGCCGCCGCCGTCGTCGTCGTCGCGTGCAGCCTCCACATCGCTGGTGCTTGATGCTACATCTGCTGCGCAAATGGGGGCTTCCAGCGCTCTGCTGTGCTTCGGATCCGACATGTTCGCCGTAGGAAATTTCAGCGCCGGATTGGAACCGATGAAACGTCGTTGCAGCGGGCACAAATGACAGTCCACGACCGCGGGAGTGAGAATGAAGCCATATTTGTATGAAGCAATTTTCCCTCGAGCGTTGAGGCGAATGTAGTCAACCACGCCTTGCTGGAGGGACGAGTTCCACAGGCGCTGTTAGGAGCATCGCCGCAATTAGCAGCATCACCGCATTCCGCCAAGGAACTGTGGACTCCAACCCGTCCGGCCAAAAAAGGCGTGTTCGACAACGCAGGCTGCATCATGACTGGCTGGCGAGAACCGAACCACCAAGGAATCTTGAGTCATGACTTTGGCGGATGCTTCCACCATCGATCAACGCGATCGATTCCTCGACACCAAACGACCTGTCCTCGTCTGAAAATATCGACATTCGCTATTGACGAGCGGGGTCATGGACGCAACGACTCTGGAGGGCTTTGACCATCGCAACGAGCCCACTGACTCCGTGTCCACGGTGGGTGCGCATGTCTATCCTCACGACACAAACCCGTCGCTCGAAGGCAGAAGCAATGTTCATGACCCCTCGAGCACCGCTCCCGGGATTCTGACCTCTCTAGGAGACAGGCCCGGCAACATGCGTCCATCTGTTATCAGCCCCGGGGAGAGTTCCACAGCCGCCTTGTCCATCTACACCGCACAAAGCTCCTGTAGCAGCAACGGTTCCGTGTCCGAGTCGGTCGCACCGTCAGCTCCCTCCGTGCCGCCTAAAGTTGGCACGAGATTCTCAACGCAATCCGCCCGCGTCTTGCGGCAATGGCTGGACACCCACAAAGACCATCCGTTCCCGAATCGAGAGGACAATGAGATGCTGCAGCGTTTTACCGGCCTGTCCAAGGTCCAAATTAAGACGTGGTTCGCCAACGCGCGTCGGCGACGCAGGTTGCCAGATAGCTCTTCGTCATCCGTCTGGAGGTCTCCTGGCGACGGTACGCGAACTCCTCAGAGACCTGCTACGCCCATACCCATATCTCATGGAGGCAGAGAAGCGCGGGACATGAGTCCAATGGAGCGCTGGGTCGACTCGCCTCCGGAAGACGAACCAGCCCTTGCTAGAGACATTGCGCGAGCCATGGCCTCAAGAAACCAGACATTTCTGCACCGAGGTACGTACTCTAGTCTCCCTACATCGATAGCTGCCAACAGAATGGAATGTACTCAATGTCTTCAGGGGAATTTGATGGCTCTGGCGATTCCAGCTTCGACGACGCCTCGGCACCGCCAGCAAACGACGACACTTCAGCCGGCAGCCGTAGTTCGTCGATGAACAGATCCGGTAGCTCTCATAGCTCCGCTGGCTTCAATACAAAGGCTATTCGGGGCCGTAGAAGGTCCAGACGGGGGCGACCTGGCCGCGATGCTGTCAAAACGTCACTGTTCCTGCCCGACGGCCGGTTTCAGTGCACCTTTTGCACTGAAACGTTCAGGACAAAATATGACTGGTCGAGACACGAAAAGTCCCTTCACGTTCCCATCGAGAGATGGTTATGCAGCCCTCGCGGGCCCATCGAAGTCAACCCCAGCACAGGCGAACCCTGCTGCGTGTACTGTGGGCGGCCGGAACCGACGAGCGAGCATGTCGCTACCCACAACCCGGACACCTGCCAGCAGAAGACTTTCAATCGTAAAGACCATCTAAAACAACACCTGCGGCTGGTCCACGACGTGGAGGGAGTAGCATGGGTCATAGAGGCCTGGAAAGCCCCCAATCTCAAGATCCGCTCTCGATGTGGATTCTGTGACACCACCCTGGAGACCTGGCGTGACCGAGAACACCACCTGGCTGACCATTTTAAACTCGGACACACTATGGCGAATTGGTCCGGGGACTGGGGCTTCGAGGAGCACATTCTGACTACTGTTGAGAGTTATATGCCACCATGTGAGACCTTTCCCGCCTCGCTGTGAAGACTCGGCCGTCGAGGCTTGTTGCGTGCTGACGAAGCTAGATGTCATTGACTACGACCGCAAGTCTCCGTTCCCGTTCATGGCAAGTGGACGAGCACCCAGTTCTCCCAGAAGCGCGTACGAGCTGATCAGTCTCGAACTCGCCTTCTTCCTACATCGACACTTTGACCAGCGCAAAGACTTACCCTCCAACCACGATCTGCGCCTGCAGGCCTGTCGTGTTATTTTTGCCTCGGAAGCTCTGACCGGAAGTCTGGGCTGCCAGGGACTCGGAGCAATGTCATGGCTGAGAGATCTCATCACTTTCGATGACGAGGTAGCTAAGCAAGCCAGGTTCGGCCCGTTGCTATCACAGGCCGAGAGCAGGCTTGCCATCTTGCGCATCAACGGCAAGAGCACGCTATTTGAATCATGTCCCTTGGAAGAGTCGCTGACGGACTTTTTCCAACGGTCCTGGAGGGAACGGGCATTGGTTCCCGAGGACAGCGACCTTCAGGCCGAGGCGTATAGAATCATCGTGATGGCAGAGGAGCAAATGGAGACGAAGACGCCCGACTTTGTCACGAACTGGTTTGCCAAGATGGTGACGACTTCGACCGACTGGATCGGCTCTTTCAAGCATCGGAACATGTGCCGATGGCAGATACACACTGCACAGTCACTACCATCGATATCTCAGTCTGCCCCGATGAACATGAACTGGACACCAGTTCAGGGTCATAGTGATCCCACTATCGGCGCTCGCCTCTTGATGTCAAATCTCGATGGGGTTGAGCCCGATTTAGGGGCCCAGAACAACGATGCATCGCTACAGATACCAAATGTTGGCGCCATGGCCTCGGACTTCCCAATGGCATCGAATGCCGGCCGCAATGATGTTCAAGATATGGCCTGTCCTACGTCTGATATGCAGCACTCTATCCTGGACTTTGGATTCTATGTTCTCAACGACGCAAATTACCACCGGTGGTTTGATGTTGAGCTGAAACGCTGGGCCACAGCTACAATGTCGTCTGAGAACCCCGCTGGGCATGGGCACATCCCGTCCGATGGAGAGATCCAACATCAGGCTCGCTTGTTGCTATATGAAGAGTAAGTTGCGATAAAGCCCCCTTCTGCCTTGCAATTTGAGGGTTGTTGCGTAAAAGAAGACACTGACATGTGCCAGTGGCGACCCTCTGGAATATAACTGCCGCGGACAATCCAGAGTGGTTAGACAGGTTTAAGCGCGACATCGGCATCGTGCCTGTGAAAACATCACATGGGCGTGATCAGATCTAATGGGCACGCAGATATGTGTTGTTCGCGTCTGGATGGTTGTTTCGGAACATTGTGTGCCTGGGTATCTATTTGGATCTCGAAAGGCCGCCCAGAGGATTCGAAGTGCCAATGTATGCTATCACCTCAAAGGAAGTTCATTTGCAGAGGAGATTCTTCACAATGAGCCATTTTGGTTCAGCTCCTTTACATCGCGACCCTTAGTCAATTGTCCACTTAACACGACATTCACTCCGCCTCCTTGAGACTACATCTGCGCAATCTACTGGCTTTGTAAATCTTTTATCGTGACCTAGTCATGATCCTAAGGATCCATAGACTAGAAAAACGGGGTATATTCGCATAACGTAGTAAGATTGACTGAGTCATAGATTGACTCCAGGCATCGTGCGTTGAAACTGTTACAATGTTCTAGTAGGTGAATAATGGATTGACAAGATGATTTTGCTGCTGCTGCACAGCCTGTGCTCCATGACGGCGAACAGACTTGGTGTCGTAGAGCACTAGCTTAGTAGTATTGCTGAAGTCTGCCGTTATAGTGGCACAGACACCTTTTCCTCCACAGACCGAGCTGCATACGGACGTGTCGAAGCATAGGGCATCGCGTCAAGTTCCGCGAAACAGCCCTGGTGGAAATAGCATACCCAGAAACTGATATGTATTGGCAATTATCTGGTGTTGTAGCACAGTACGCACAAGTATCATAGTTCATAGCAATCAGTGATACCACAGGAGACCACGAGGGCCTCAAACCCAACCAACCGTTCTGATTAGCCCCGTATACCCTTTGAAACTGAGCCTGAGACTGGCGCTGGTTGATCGGGCAAAGCGAACTACTTAGGCAGAGTAGATGGCAATAGCGTTATCGAGAATGGCTAGGATGTCATTGACGTAGACTTGGGCAGTGCCCTGGACGATGCTTGGGACCTTGGAGACGAGAGCGGCGCCGAGGGTCGCGACAGCAGCACGCTGGGCCTGAATGCCGGCAAGAACGTCGGCCGTGATGCCGAGGGCGTCGACGGCGGGCTTCTGGGCTGTGGCAATGTCAAAGGCAGCATCGACAGCGGTCTGGACGGAGCGAATGGATGTGGCAAGGCTGATAGCGTCGAAGAGGCTGAGGTTGGGGCTCGCGTTGACGACGGGGATGGCCGCGTTGATAGATGCCAGGAGGTTATCGTCGGCTGACTGGATGCCGGCCGCCGTGCCAGCGGTGAACGCGGCGCCGTAGGCGTCAACGCTGTCTTCAATGACCACCAGGGCAGCCTGGATGGGCGCAAGCTGGGCCGAGACCTGGGTGATGAGGCCCGCAAGGGTCGCAACGGGGACAAAGATTGAGGAAAAGCGCATTTTGGCGGTGAGGTGTCTTGAAGAGAGTTTGTTTTGTGAAGTTGTCAACTGAGTGTGAAGATGATGCTGCTGGTGATTTGTTGTGCTTTTGGTACCAGGGCTTGCCTTTATTTATACCCAGGTCAAAACATATGGGACCTCAAGGAACTTCTGGTCTCCCACCAGATCTTTGGCATCTTTGGTTGAACTCGATTCCACGTGCTGCCTCGGATGGCAACAGAGGCAAAAACAGATGTCGTGATTCCATCATCCCTGTGTATGGCGCCTCGCATAGTATTGATCCTACTCGGCCGCAAGTGAGAGTCAGCATGCACGCGCTTTGATCGTCGCCGCCGTGGACGAGTCCAGCCCGAAGCGGGGGAACGCCGTGTGCCTAACCTATTGTCCTGGCCACAGAGTAGCATCTCCGCCGCCACCACGGCCGACTTCCCGGACTCGAGATTCCACCGCGCAGGTGAATGGCTCAGACGTGATGTAGTGCTGCTGTGCAGGTTTGGCCTTTTACAGAAGTGAGTCCGTGCTAAGTCGTATTCGCCAATGTGATTTTGCGGCAAAGTGAGGGGAAGGTTGTTGTTGTGACCATTTTTGTGAGGTCAAGGGGCAAAGTGACTGGGTTCCCCAGACTCGGCAGTCGAAAAGAAGATGGAGGGTAGCATTTGGCCGTTGAAGAAATGCGGAGAAGGCGTAGCCCCCCTCTCTGGAGATGACTACGCTGAGGGATTCAAGTCAAACGCATGTGATGCCGACGAGAAAGTGCGAATTCCTTGTGAGCGACGATCTTGGAAGTATTGAGGAAATCCTGCAGCATTGGTAAAGTATCTCGAGGGTGATGGGGGTGCTGTTTGGTCACGCTTGAGCCAGGGGTTGTGGGAGAGGGGTCACACCTCAGGCCTAACTCAAAGGGAACATTATGTTCTTGAGACAAGCACCGAGCTGGGCATTCATTTCACCAGTTGGGCTCTGTTTCTGCGACATATCATGCATTTCTTGTATTCGCTGTTATGGTTTCAACTCTATCAAGCGGTCTTGTGGTCTTCTGACGGACAACTTCATGTCAGACTTTCCTCTGCTGATCAGCTCCTTAAACAGAAGCCACCCTTTCCACTTCAACCGTCTCAATGTCGGCTTCCTTCTCTGACACGTGCACATTCCTCGTCTCGAGTTCTTCAACCTTTGTACTCTTGAATTTGCGAGCCGAAATCCTCTGCTCGAAGAGGATGTCCAACTCGCCATAGGTTCGGCCCTTGGGCTCAGGCAGACGGAAGTATGTCCAAGTGAAGCAAAGCGCACAGGTGCCGGCCCAGAAGAAGCCAGCCTTGGCACCCCAGTTCCACGCCGATGGGTTCAACATGCGGGGCGTGAGCACATTGGTCGTGATGCCCAGGATATTGTATGCGTTCCTCGCGAGCACAACTGTCTTGGTCTTGAGTCGTGTCGACGAAAGCTCTGAAACAAGAGAATAGCAGATGGGGCCAACGGTGCAATTATACGTCAGGGTATAGACCAGGAGCAGACTGCCGATGGCCCATTGGGCCGATGCGTTGTCTCGCGAGGCGAGGGAGGCGAAACCGATGGTCATGAGTAGTATGACCATGATCAGTTGCCCACTGAGGTATAGTGTGCGACGTCCAAACCACACTCATGAGAAACCATGACGAAAGGGTGCCAACGGCACAAGGGCGTACTGACCAAGAGACATGCTGAACGAAGCCTCAACAGCAAGACCGGCCTGTTGGTAGAAATATGTCGAGTATCCCATGAATGTACTGCCGCAAAGCGTTTGTACACCCCATGAGGCGCATACAATCTCGGTTCTCCTCAGGTCGATACCCTTGAAGCAGTCGAGGTAGGACGTGCCCTCGGAGACTGCCTTCTCGAGCTCATTGGTATGAACCATCATGGACACGCTCTCATCGGCGTTGAAATCGGGGTTAGCGTGACGGCTCGTAAGTTGAAGAACAGATCGCTTTGCATCCTCGAGACGACCTTACGGACGAGCCACCACGGCGATTCGGGGGCGTACCAGATGCCGATAGCCAAAGGGACAGGCCAGATCCACTGCAAGGCGAAAGGGATTTTGTAGCCCCACTTGTCGTCGCGTTCAACCATGGCGCGTAGGACACCACTGGCAATGAACTGACCGATCACCCAGCAGAGGTTGACATATGTCGTCATATAAGCGCGCAGATGGATGGGGCAGACCTCCGAAGCGTAAGTGACGGTCAGGGTCTGAAACGCACCCCAAGGGACGCCGATGAGGATCTCTCCGATCAGGAGCTGAACAAGAGTTTCGGCGAAGAAGATGATGAAAATGAAGGCGGCTACCAAGCCAAGGGAGCCGACAAGTGTGTAGCGGTATCCGAGGCGCTCAGCAACGATACCGTTGATGAAGAGACCAAGAATCTGACCCACAAGCATGCCGTTTGTCAAGCCGGACTGCCAGGCCGCCGTCAGTTCAAACGAGCCGTTAGGCTGTTCAACGCCAAACTTTCGCTGGAAGGCAGGGTACGCGAAAAGGCCTGTGATGAGCGTGATGTCAAAGCCTTCCATGACGACACATGTTGATAGGAATATGGACCAGGCGATAGCCTTGGGGTATAACTTCAAAGACTGACGGAGTCCCAGCTCGTGTTCGGCGTTGGTTGCGTTTTGTGCTTCATGGCTGAGGGCCTCAAGATTGGGATTGTTGATGGACATACGACGCAAGGCCTCGGCGTCGACGTGGATTGATCGTTTGCGATCGTCGTGTGCCACGTCTAAAGTGGTCTGAGTCGCCATGTTGGTCAACTACCAGATGAGGTTTTGTGTGATGAAAGAACGTAAAGACTTGCTTCGGTCAAAGATGAGGAGAGTATTCCCAAGATGTGAGGTGAACTTGATGATCAAACTGGAAACAAGTGCATCAACAAGTCGGAGGTCTGAGGTCTTTATAAAAAGCGAGGACTAGAGAGCTCCAGCTTATACCAGAGGAAAGTTGAAGCAAGCAAGCACATGTTCCTGTGCCTCACACCAACGATGTAAAGAAATGCAACACCCAGGCCAGTTAGACCTTTCCCCGGATCGCCTTGGAGACAAGCTGCATAGCTGGCTCCCCCCCGGGCCACCCACCCCCAGCTTCCCCGAGGACGGCCGATTGGCGTCACGGCTAGGCCTGAACCTAGATTCCAGCGAGATCAAGCCGCATCCATAACCGCAGCGATACCAAGGCCGGGTCTCTCGTCCAATCACATTTCGTATTGACGACCTAAGGTCGCGCAAATTGGTGCTGGACCGAAAGTTTCCGCGAGTGTTGAATGCTGAGCGACCGAATCATCGTGGCGAACGTCCACACCCCAATCTCAAAAGGGCCAAGCGCTGGCCGACGCCATTCAACGGCGATCTGGAGATCAACAGCCAGTGGTTGATTGCATCTCGCTCGGTCCATTCCGGCAGTGGCACGACACTGAGTGGGCGCGCCCCTGCAAATCGAAGCCACCGAGAGTAATAGCGATGCCGTCGTCTTCGCAGAAGGTTGGTTATTCAAGCGGAAGCTTGCGGAGTCTTGAGACCCTTCACTGGGCCAAGCTCAGCTTGAGAAGCCATCAACAAGGATCGAGGGGTATTTCAGCGACATGACGACATGATGCACACTTCACATATCAATCCTGGATGATGAGGAATCGTCCAGATCTAAGCGTTACGGATTAGGCACGGAATCGTGATGAGCGAGTTTAGGGAGAAAATCACAACTTCAGCAGGTGTCACGGTAGCCGCCGTAAAGCTCGACCGCTTTTCGTAATGACAATGCCGACGCCCTGCACCTCGAGGACCAAGTTAGCCTTGCAGGATGCTACGCATATCATACGCTGCTAATCGTTGACAGCGCAGTGCAGCCCATAATACCGGGCGTCCCACGGGGTGCTAAAGCTTCTTATCAGACTTGTAATGCCGATCTCGACATGTCGGACCGACGCGACATCGGCTGTGACGTGGACGCATACATGCAGATGTGGAGAAGGTAGGGTTGACTTTCAATTTGCAACTGGGTTGGCCAGCCTCCAAACTGAGAACAAGTTGATTGGCGATCCTCTCTCGGTTTGTTGCATCGATAATGTTGGGGTAGAGATACCTTTGGTGTAATATTGTGGACTTGCTGTCTGTAAATCACGGGGATAACGATTCAGAACGAGGCAGGCATACAAGGCGACACGTTACATACTGAAGTCCAATCAGCCTGAGTCTCTATCAAATCAATCAGACGTGCAAAGAGCCTTCCACAGGTGTTAATTGTTATTACTAGTTGGGTATGGGGTTAAAGCATCTCTTTATACTAGGTAGCCATCTATACCTAGGAGGGCCTGTCGCCCTCACATATGTACTCCCTGAAATGTAAGCCCCCAGGCCCATCTTCCAAGACCCGTATTCTCGGGCTCTAAAAAAGGTTTGACTTAAGGCCTGAACAGGCTTCGCGTAGTTGTCAGCTCGACGAGCGCTGGCCGTTAGCCACGTGATCAAAGCACGCTGTCCATCCATCCTCGCGCTGATTGACGCACTCAACATCGCTGCCCCACAGAGTTTGTCCAAGCGAGTCTGAGGTGTGTGCCTGTTCCTAGTCCCATTTCCATGACTCAAGCAGCTACCTGTGCACGAAAGCCCTCACAGTAACCTTCACCTCGTATCCCTCGTATACGGCATAGCGAACTGTCGCCGACGCGAGATGGCGTCTGGCCATTGTGGACTTTTGCCAATTGGTGGTCCAAAGTGATCATGCCACTGGACCTCGTCAAGCTCGTCAAGTGCCTCGTGGAGATCCGTTCGTAATTGTGAAAGGGGTGGAGCTGAGAGGAAACGAGGTACGAGCCATGACAATGACGGCTAAACGAGCAATATTCTCGACGAACAAGCGACGCCCAGCGGGCAAAGGTGTTTTACACAATGGTAAGAAAAAAGCATGCGCATATCTCAACGCCACCGGCATAATGAGAGACGTTTACTTACGAAACAATCGAACTAAAAAAAGACACTTGACTGAGCATGATCAAATTGAAAGTCCGAGAGTTGCCCTGGCTGCGACCCAAGGTGGGCGCACACCCGTGGTTATTGGTGGGCGTCGAGATGACGATTAACGAAGCTCTTGACTCGTCCTACCATAGCCTCAATGCTCGTCATCGTCGCATCAAGTTCTTAGACTCACAGGGCCTTCGGGGGCTTATGCCAACGTTTTCCTGAACGCTCTGAGACATGTATAAATAAGGTGCTGGTGGCCGCTGTTACTTTTCCACAGATACAGGCAACACAACTACAGCTACACCTTTCGAAATAGCCATCAACAACATATGCTATGCGAGATCATGTCTTCCTTTGGCAGGAAGTCTCTCTTCGTTGGTTTCTTGGTCACCAGTGTAGTCCAAGGTGTGTCTGCGACACAAGTATGCTACGTGAATGAGTC